CTTGTGTGTGAGGAGAAAACAATAAAACCCCCATTACTGGGGTTGTTATTCGGTGTCAAATTTACACATCAGCACAACAATGTTAGGGAAAAAGACTTGAGCAGTTTGTTAGGAAACGTTTGTAGGGAAATATGAATGAGTATTAACAAAACGTGAAACCACAATGGTTGATGGAAATAAAAAAATAAGTTTCAGTCAGTGAAGCTAAGAGGTTGGTGCTTTTTTACAATAAACTTTTTGTTTTGTCATCTTGTATTTCACAAAGGAAACCATGGGCAAGTATTCTTCTAAGGGCTCTTTTGCTCCACTTGTTCTTTATGAAAAACTATTTTAGTTGTGACTAAGTCGTGTTAAATTATTCACATTTTTCATCATAAGAATGGAAGGTAGTTCTGCTTTTTATGGATATATATAAAAAATCTGACTTTATTGTTAATCTTGCCAAATATCAGCTTTTATTGTTGCAACAAAACATGTGTAGGAGTAAAATCTTAAACAGCTTGTTGGTCACTTATTTATCAGTAATAAAAGTGAAAAGCACACTTCAGATTGGTCTCATTCTTATTACTGTTGTTGCCTTTAGGTAAACACTGTTCAGTTTATCTACCGTATTTTCTGCCGTACACGTCGCACCGCCCTATAAGTCGCATCAGTCCAAATATGTCTAATAAAGCGGGAAAAAACATAAATACGTCGCTTCGCCGTATACGTCGCAACTATTATGCGTCACCGCTGACATCCTGGAAATGTGGGCTGGTGTTGTGCCAAAAATCGATTGCCTGCCAAACAGCAGCCGCGGGAGCGTACACAGGAGGACTTTAACAAGATTAACACCTAAAAACAATTATTTGTTTGCTCGAAATTATAGCAAAGGTGTGTCTCAGTCTAACCTTTTCTTAATAAATGCACTTTGACGGTCAGATCAGCTGCATTTCACTGGGGCGGCACAGCGAAATGAAGCTGATCTGACGGTTGCTGCAGGCAAGCCGACTGTGTCATTATTAGCCACTTTAACCTATTACATGACACAATGGCATGCCATACTCGAGTGCCATCTAGCGGCTGAAAATTGTATTGTTCAATATTTTCAGTCAGAATGAATGAAAACGGTCATATTTCAGCCAAAAATTGTTTCATAAATATGGGAAAAAATACGTAAATAAGTCGCTTCGGTGTATAAGTCCCTGTAAATTGTGCAAAAAAACAGCGACTTATAGTCCGAAAAATACGGTACATCAAAATGTTACAGAAATGATTAACTCAGCAGCAGAAACCGAGCTTCTCTTTATCTCTCCTATAAGATAAGAAAAGAATCGGAGGTCTTATTATCTGCTGAGTGAGGAGTTGTTTCTCACACACTTGTGCAGTGACGTTTACCCGCCCCTGTGGTTCCATGCCGGGCAGTCAAAGACAACGATGACCCTTCAGGTCGGACTGGAGGACCAGTAATGGTTCTCTGGCAGGCTTCGTCTTATAGTGGCTCACTTGTTTCCCTTGTTTTCTGCTTAAAAGCGATCACAATGTTCTGCTCTAAATCTCTTTTACAAGGCAATTTTATTTACTCATTTTTATATTGGTGGATGGTTCATTCTTTCATTATTCAAATGTTGTAAAATGCCGTAAACGTGAAGCTATTTTTTAGCTCGGATGTCGTCATAAAAACAAAAACGAGGTGGTTGAAGCTCAAATCCACCAAAACCAGTGTACAGATGGGGCTACTGGCAAATTTAGAAACATTAATTCGGTTCCTTAAAAAAACTCATTTGCTAATGCTTTATATTTACAATTGTTTTATTTTTTTATTCATTTGTTTTTATGTTATCAGGAAGGTCTCGTTCAGATAAAACATCTCTTCTTCAAGATAAGACGTTGGGAAAAGAATAAAAGGAATAAAATGAGTTTAAACAAAAACATATCAAGAATAAATAGATAAACTTTTTGAAAACTGTCCTGTTCAGCTTGTGTCAGACTGAGGGAGACGAACAAACACGCCGGTCTCACCCCGATTGTGGGCGCCATGGCAACGCTGTTGCCACTTCAGGGAGGTAACTTTACCACCTACTCCCAGTACTCCCAGCAGACACACAAACACATTCAGTGAGGTGTGAATCCGCCATAAACATGTCTCAGGTTTCATATTTTTTTGGCTAAAAGCGTCTAAATATTAGAAGTTTTCATTCCATTAAGTCTTGTGGACTTAGTTTTATTCATGTATATTGTTTTATTGGCCTCAGTCAGCACACTCTATCTCAATGAATTTCTTTGTTTGAAAACTTTACACTGGTTTGGCATCAAGTTAGATTGTTTTAACAGAACATCAGGGCTGTCTTTGGATAATAAGAATACCAAAATATTTATTTAAGGATTCAACTTTTAAATGTTTATGTAATAAAAAGACACAAAAATGATAAACTAAAACTGGCAAACTCAACAAAAACCCCAGAATACTAAACTTATACAGCAGCTTACATTCCAGATGAATTATGTCACAAATGTGAATATTTGATTATTGGGACTTATTCTTTCTTAATAAAGCTAATTAATAATATATATTTTGGGCATGTTTATCCCATGTTAATTTTATAGTGTCATGTCTTTTGTAAGCATCAGTTTGTTAATATGGTTGAAATGAATTTTCTGCTGGGACAAATTGTCTGTTTTAGAAAAAAGAGAGAAAGAAATCTAATCTCTTGGTCTTCGGTGTGACCACATCAGTGCTCAGCTGATAAGTCGTTTCAGCTTTTATCTCCAGAGGAAACAAGTTGTTCAACAGCGCTGTTTTTGTTTAGTCCGAAGTTAGTTTTCTCGTGAACAAGAAAACTCTGAGAATGATGATGACATGCTGTTTTAGTCAAAATTGTTATAAAATGTGTGTAAAAATATACATGTGGCAGTGGGGAACCCTCAGGCCTTCAATGCATTTAGAGAAGGCCTAAGACTTTTGCACATATGAAATAATTAATTTAAAAAAAAATTAATTTTATATTTTTATGTAGTTTTTGTGGTAATTTTTCATTTTCTGTAAACTATTTTGCAGTTGAGCAAGAAACTTTTCTAATTAATGAAAATATAGTTATCCAATCAGATACTTTAAAAGTTTTGTCTCCAGCAGAAACATGTTTAAAGGAGCTTTCTGGTGAGGACTTACTTCACTGTCAGGAGAGAAGGCGGAGCCGAGTCCAAGTCTGTAGAGAAAGAGTTTTTAATAAGTGAAAGAGTTTTTAATAAGTGACAGGAAAATTAACCAATAATGTTGATGTAGAGTGGACGGGACCAAAACACTGGGCTCTGAGCCTTCAGGAAGGACTTGCAGGGCATATTTTGTTTATTTATTTATTAACCACGTAAAGATTTGTGATGCATTCAAGTGCAACATGTAAATTAAAAATTCCACACAGTGTGAAGATTAAATATCCCATTTAGGTTTTCATTAATAATTTTTGATTTTAGAGTTGTATTTTGAAAATCTACATAAATGGCAAGTTCTGTGGGTTACTGTTAAATTTCAGTGTGAATTTCAAAATTACATGTTCACAAACGCAAGAGACTGGGCTTTCTGGGTAATATTGGGACAGAAATGGGTGGACTTTCTCAGGTCATGTGTTCAGATGGGGTGTTGGGTTGGTTTGTTGTTAGTGACTGTAAAAAATGAGGCAATAGGTCAGACAGCACTGACCTTTCTTACGAATGGATGAAGTCCTTAAATCTGTGGTTTTCAGGTTCCAACCAAGAAGCTGAAGAAAAAAATACGCAATAAGTTTGATGATTTACTCGATTTATAAAAAGTAGGAAAGCACTTCCTGTCAGTAAGTTACTGGATTACTAAACTGACATTGAAGTAGGAATGTGCGATATATACGGTACACGGTAGAAATGATAGACATTCCACCTATGATAGAGATCTGTCTTCTACCGGCTAACCGCAGTAATGCTGTGTCTGATGGAAAATCAGAGTTGTCAGATTAATCTTTACTTTTTTTAGTTGAAAACTGTGCGTAAGTGGTGTTCCAAGTCTTTTCTTCGAGAGCTAAGTAGCGAAGCTACAAGCTAACTATGGCTGGCTTGCCATAGTGTTGCCATATTCAGACGCATGCGCAAAACGCTGTGTTCCGTCCAAAGTTGTTTTTTTTTTTTTTTTGTCCAACGTTAAAGTAAGCGTTGGTCAGCTTTAGAGAAACCTGCTCTCTGATCTGTGAAAAGAACGCTGTGTTGTGCGACTTTACTGCGAGACCCTCTGGTCAAAGCCACAGAGGAAACTGGTCGCCATTTTGTGTCAGTTCTCCTTTAAAGCGGAAGGAGACGCCCACTAGAGGGTTGGAGGGTGAAGCGTTTCAGTGTAAAATGCTGCTCTGTTGCTGTTCATTTCTTAAGTTAGAAGACTGGAAACTGTTAACAACATTCTTTTGTTTAAAACATATGGCTAAAACTACATTTGATATCTTTTGCACTACAAGAAAGAAGCCTAATATTTGATTTGTTAATTATTTAAAAACTCTGGACCTAGTAGTGGAATTTTCTTAATTGAGATTATTTTGTGATATAGCAGTTTTCAAAATAAATTATAGTAAAAGGACATCCTATGCTTTTTTTTTCATTCCTATTGCAAGTTTTATACCAAAAACATATTGTGATATATATCATTATCGCCACCCTTCACAATACATATCGTGATATGAATTTTATGCCATATCGCACATTCCTACATTGAAGTGATGTAATTGGACCGTGGCTCTGTAGTGTCTTTGACGTTAGCATTTAATAAATAGGATGTTACTATCTTGCATCCTAACTGACGGCCTAGCTGTATTTGTCACGGTTCGCCACTGCTGCATTAAAAGCTGTTCTCTTTTAACGCCATGTAAAAATAATAGCAGCACTACTTAAAACTTGATTTGGATGTTTTACTGTAAATAATTCTTAAAATGGTTTAATTACCTGTCTGAAGCTCACCACTGACCTTTCTTATGAAGGGATGAAGTCTTTAAATCTGTGTTTTTCAGGTTCCAACCAAGAAGCTGAAGAAGTTTGAGAAGGAATATCTGACACTGAGAGAGAGCCAGCTGCAACAAGAAGACCCCATCGACCGATACCAGGTATGAAACACCCGCAGCGCGACACCAGGTCCGCTGTGTTTGTTCTCGTCTTCAGTGTTTATTTAAAAGCACTTCCACCTCCAGGAGGCTTTAGGTGATTTATAACTATTTAAACAGATTTTGTTTGAACAAACTCTTTGAAAAAATAATCATTTTGTTTCTGTCTGCTATATATAGCTTTTATAAAAAAAAAGAAAAACTTATCTAATATAAGAAATGTCATGAGAGCAACTGTGTGTTTGAAACTATTTTTATCAGGCGTTCACTTTGACGATAGCTATAAATAAATGAAGTTGTCAGGCACATCCGCAGCCACCTGCGACGCTTTGTGTCTTCAACGAGAAACGAGAGGCGAGGCAGATATTATACAGGCTGGACACCCTCCTCCACTTCATCTGCTCAACTTTGACCTTTTATTCTCCTTCAGTACTCAAAGCGTTATTCTCACATTTTCTAAAACAAAATGTTCGTTCATTATTAATCAATAATAATAATTAATGACACAACATTTTACTTTCTTCTTTTAAACAAGAAACTTTGAATTCATTAAGCTTTCACTTTTTTCTCCTAATAAAAACTGGACCATGGCTACAGTGATTTAATCAAACATGCATTTCTGTTTTGAACCAGTTGTAGTGGAAAGAGCACTCCTTTAAATTATTTTGGGTAAAAGAGAATAATTTATTAATGGTTGTGGTTGGAAGTTTGCTCTTTTTGTTGTCAAGAGTCCCTTCAATAATTTGTAATTACTTCTTTAAAGTGACTCCTTCAAAATGGCTTCACTGTCTTGACAGTTGTAGTAATTTTATAAATGTTAACACACACCATGATGAACTCAGATTAATATTAAGTTTGTTTTATTAACTTAGGGTCCTCCACTTTCCTTCTTTCTTTTCTGCACTTCTCACTTTGAAAAAAAAAAAAAATCAATGACCTGGATTTTTTTACCTGGATTATTGTGCATGAACTTTGCTGTGTTTAATCACTTTGGCTGCCTCAAAGGAGTCAGCGTTGGAGAGGGCGAGAAACCATCTTATCACCAGCAAACTGGTTGGTCCACTATGGGAGTGTGCTGTTTGTGGGACTGAGTTTGTTGTGGCTCCTCGGACTGACGAAGTCCTTTGGATGAAGGACGAAACGTCTCAACAAAAAAAGAAACCGTCCCAGTGACCTGACTGAACTTTGTTGGATTTTTTTTTTAACCTGGATTATGATTGACATTGGAATGTTTTTTTAGTATGCCACAATTCCTGGATTATACCTGAGTTGACGAAAAGAAAAATGGAAAGTGTGAGGCTGCTGAATATTTACAAAGTGTATTTAGGTTTTATTCATCCAAATATGAACATAAAGGTTAAAGTTGTTGAGTAAACTATATCAGTTACTTCCTGATTTTTTATGTGCTTAAACTTAAATGTTTACAGAAACACTTTTGATGGTAATATTAGCAACTAATGCAACTTTTAAAAAAACTAATTCATAAACAAGCATGACAGCAGTCATGCGACTGTACCTTTCAAATATCTGAAGCGTGTCATGTTTCATACAAATGTAACGCGCCTAAAATCTCTCCATGCTTTTACCGTGATGAGTAATTAATTCCAAAAACCCACACACATTATGAACGGAGCCAGTAGTTCTTCCAGTAAAGATTTAAACTTCCAGCTGAAGGAAAACGTTTCCAGTCATTTTTTCCTAAAGGCAGACGTGACATGTTGGAGTACAAGCTGCCAGTTTTAGAGAAGAGGAAGGAAGGAAGACTTTAGTTGTAGATAAGACGTTAAACTTGAGCGAGCTGCAGACAGGAAAGATGTTTTTTAGTGTAAGGGTTGGAAAGAATAGGATGACAGCTGCTTGCTACAAACTGTAGATTTTCTTTGTGCGTTAATATTCAAATTAATTCAGGTTGCCACACATGCTTTGGGTAATCAGAGCAAAAATACAGATTTATAAATAAATGGAAAAAGACTGGGAGGGAGAGAAAGTGAGGCTGGGAAGTGTCCCTCCCAAAAGCGAAACATCAGGATCATGTTTTGGAGTTTAGTCATGCGTTCTGGACGCTCCGTGTCAGGACGTTGTTCTGTCTGTGGACAAACAGGCGCTCGGTAAGAACTCTGAAGAATCATTTGTGTTATTTCTGTTTTTGTCAAATAAGTAGGCGAATAGGAATGGGTCACTTTAACAGAAATAGCTGAAGATTTAAATTCAAACCAAATTACGACACATGTACCTGGAATAAAGACTAAAAAGAGATTATGAAGGTTTTTCATTCAAACTACACTGAAATGAGTCGAAGCAGACACTTGTCATTTATTATCTCTTCCTGGTTTAAACCATATGATGTCTGCTTGTGTTGTAAGGATTAAACCTTTGGATCTCACAGCTGTTAAGATGAACTTATGCGTAATTAAATAAGACGTTATGCAACAGCTCGGATCAAATGCATGTTGTCTTCATGCCTGTCGTGCACGCTTGTGTGAGTATTCATGTGAGTGGAACGTAAAATCACCCCAGGATTAGAAAATGTCACGGTTGTATAAGTGGCAGGATATCAGGGTCAGATGACCACTCATCGCCATGACAACTGTTTTTTTGTTTTTTTTGTCAACGAGCATCATGTGAGCGCGTTTACTGCCTGTTGTCATGAGATTCCACTAATGGATCACAGACGACTTAAAGATAGGTGTGTGTTTGTGGAAACGAGGGAGACGACCTGCATTATGTTTTCAGTAAAACAGAGTTTAAAATTACTGCCGGTTTATCAGAAGAGCTGTAATAAGTTCTTTAAAGGGATTTTTGTTGTTATTTAACACAAACCTTAAGGCAAACTGTGACACAACACATTCTGCATCTGTGTGTGTGTGCAGAGGGAGAACCGCCGTCTTCAGGAGGCCAGCATGAGACTGGAGCAGGAGAACGACGACTTGGCACATGAACTGGTCACCAGTAAGATAGCCCTCCGCAATGACCTGGACCAGGTAATAAATGATCCAAATGCTTTAAAGAACCACAACGACCCATTAGGTCTGAATTTAAAAAGCCTGCTATTATGGGGTAGGAACACTCAAAATCAACATGCATGTAAAGACAGAAATGTGTGCACATCAGTCAATAGTTGTTCATAACTACACTTTGTTCATGTATTTTATGTTTCCTTAAAAAAATGTAATTTAAAAAGTTACAACTTCACAAACTTACAAACACAAACTTCAAGTTTGCAGTTGTGGTTTACTCTTTATGAATACAAAGAACTATGACTGTTTGTGAAAATGAGTTTACAACTGTGATCTTACACAGGGTCGCAGGCTGGCTAATGGAGCGCAGAACACATCAAAACACACTGCGTTCTTAATGGTTTCTCCATTTCAACGCCAACGGAATTTATTTTAAAAATAGTAAAACGAATCACCAACGGATTATTAGTTTCCACAGGAGAAATGTTAACTGTTCTGTTGGCAGTGCAGTGGGAGGAAGATGCAAAACCATTAAAAACAACAATTTGTTCAGATTCAAGTTCCGTATTATTGAGTTTAAAACACAATAATTCAGACAGCAGGCCAGACATTTTATTAGAAATACTCCATGAATTATTCAGAATACAAAGGACTGGTTTAACAGTAGCATTGTTATTGGTACCAGCACACATTGGAATTAAAGGAAATAAGATGTAAAAGAAGGCAACTCAAAATCATATTAACTTCACGATACATACATACAAACAAATCATAGACGAGGAGTATCAAACTAAATCTGAAGAAAGAATGGCAGAAAGGGTGGGATGGAGAAAGAAAAGCAAGATTGTTTTATACAATCAAAAATGAGAGCCAGGACTTGAATCTGAAAGGATGCGCAACAATCGATGTGTTCTGTGCTCCATTAACCAGCCCGTGACCCCGTGATGTAAGATCACATTTGTAATTTCATATTCACTGTCATAGTTCTTTGTATTCATAAAGAGTAAACTACAACTGTAAACTTGAAGTTTATACTTGTACGTTTGTGAAGTTGTCACTTTTTAAATTGTATTTTTATGAAGGAAACGCACACAAATTCTAGTTATGCACAACTATTGACCAACATGCGCACATTTCTGTCTTTACATGCACATTTATTTTGACATTGTTCTTACCCCATATGCTATATTACATACAGTCTGTGTGTGTGTTCATCTGTGGTGTAAATTAAGACATCTTTTTATGCTTGGAACAGTTTTTAGACATTTTTTTTTTATTTGGTAGAAAAAAAATGTCGACTTTAAAATGAAATGAAATGGAAAGAAATCCTTCTGCTGATTTTAACTCTGCCTAAATGTTTCCCCACCATTGTACTGCTGAGCTGTAGCCCCTCTGTGCCGTTCTGTATGCTGCTGGAGCCCCCGCCCCACTGACTGGTGTCTGTTCTCACACTCAGGCTGAAGACAAGGCAGATGTCCTGAACAAAGAGCTGCTGAGCACCAAGCAACGCCTGGTGGAGACAGAGGAGGAGAAGAGACGGCACGAGGAGGAGACCGCTCAGGTAACATCTTGGTTCATCCTCAGCTGGTAAAAAAAAAACAAAGGCAGCTTTTTCCAAAAGAGGCACAACAAGACATTCGTGACTTTTTTCACTCTCTGCTAAAGACATCTGATGAGGTGGATTGTGATTGCTGTAAATACACGATGTGCATCCGTCACAGATTTGTCCTAAATGATCCCGAGCTTTGTGCTATAAAATTTAGTAAAACATGTTTGACAAACTCTCTACTCACGTTCTGCCCTCAAAATCCTGATTCCAGTTTTTCTCATTTTGGTTTTCTCCTCTAGTAACTCAGCGTGCAAAAGATTTGTTTCTGTGTGAGGTTTGAGTTCAAAATAAAAATGCAGCTGTGCTGTAAAAAACAAAACAATGCTCTGAATAACATTTAGGTTTTCTCCGTAACTGCAGTGTTTTTAAGCAATATAATACAGCACACTGAGTGGAGAAAGTTAGCCCTAAATGTATAAATGTTTATTTATCTCTGTGGTTCCCAACACTGATCCTTGAGGAACGCCATGCTGCATGTTTGAGCCGTTTCCCTGCTCCAACACAGTGATTTCATTACTTCGTCAAGTTCTGCAGAAGTCTGTTCATCACCCACTCATTCAAATCAGGTGTGGTGGAGCAGGGACACAGCTAGAACATGCAGGATGGCGTTCCTCAAGGACCAGGACTGGGAACCACTGCTTTCGATAAATAACTTTACCTTGTTAGGTCTACCAACACTTTTACTGAAGTGAAAAGATGATCATTGTCGCTAACAAATGTAGCAGATGAAGACAAATAATTTATATGAACCACACAGTGAGATTAATGTTGTCTGGTTTTTATTCATACAAGTTATTCCTCCTTGTTTATAGTTTAATGTTTTACGCTCTTTGTCTCATTCAGCTGAAGGAGGTGTTCAGGAGGGAGCTGGAAAAAGCCGAGATCGAGATCAAGAAAACCACCGCAATCATAGCTGAATACAAACAGGTAACTGTAAAATGTGCAGGTATTATTATTAGAATTTTGTGTTTTAATTTAGCTCCTTGCTTGGTTTGTTTTAGAGAACAAGATCTTTAAATACTTTTGTTTGTAATAATTCAGCATTGTAAGATACAAAGTAAGTTTTAGACCTGAACCAGTAGTTTTGATGGAGAACTGGACCTCGTCTTCTTTAACTTCCTCTCTCTGCTTCAGATCTGCTCCCAGCTGAGCACCAGGCTGGAAAAACAGCAGGCGGCAACAAAAGAAGAGCTGGACATCGTCAGGGTGAGACTAATGCGCAGCAAACAGCTGATGCAACTTTTGAGACATGTAAATTCCCGACAAAAGCCGCAGAGTTGTACCAGACAACATGAGTTAAGTGGCAGTGCTCAGGCTTTCAGTCAGGCACGAGACAAGCCCAGGTCTGTGCATCGTCCCACCCAGAAGGAACAGGATTACACAGATAAACCCACACAAATGCCCAGTTCTTGTCAAGTATGCGGCGTTGCTCTTTGTGGGTGTGGCAGAGGATGTTTGTTTATTTCATTCTAATTATAATGTGTTGCAACAGCACATCACAATGAAACGAGTTACAAATGGAACAAGTGTAGAAAGGCACCATCCTGAACTACCCATGAAGCCGACTGAGACACGGGAGATGAGGGGACAAACGGGCTGGATTTTGATACTCTGTTAATATACGAGCTTAAATTTGCTCTGATTTTTAGCTGCATCATCTCAGCTGTGACTGATTTTTGTTTCCTCCACAGTCGTTTATTCTATGTGGATGTATCATTTTGCAGAATAAAGTTATGGGGTGCGAGCGATGTAAGGACTTGTTCGGCACCCTGGGGTCCCTACAGGCTTCCTCCCCCAGCAGTGACAGGACGTCCAACGAACCGCTGGACGAGGAGAAGGACGGACTGACGGAGCAGCTGAGACAGCTGGAACTGGAGCTCGCACAGACCAAACTCCAGCTGGTGGAGGCAAAGTGTCGAATCCAGGTCCGCAGAACTAATCATGATAAACATGGCCGCCAACAGGAAGTACTTCTTCTAGAAAGGAAATGGATTTAAGTCATTATCATCAAGAAATATATAATTTGTAGCTGTTGGCTCTTATGTGTTGTATTTAAATAAAGAAGAGAAAACTGAGGAATAAACAAAAATTAAAATAATTATTAATATTTTATATAATTATTAATAATTTTCTCTGAGGCTTCATTATTGAAGAAGAGTACTTTGACCATCAACAGACATATTAAACTTATATTGAGTAGCTTTTTAAACATTCATATCTCAGTTTAACAGTTTCACATGTAAAGATTTATATCTTAAACACAGAAGCATCATTTAAAACGAAGCAAAACTAAACATTAAACTCAAGGTTTGATCCCTTCTCATCCACGTTGTTTGCAGTTAGTTTGTCATTTTATCTGTAAGGCTTTCAACAGCCTTGCTCCAGAAATAATAAGAGAAGTTTTATCACCTTAACTTAATAGGAATGTGTGGTGCAGCTCAGTCCAATGTCTCAGTCTCCACTGAAAAGTGCAGCTGTGGTTCTGGTTACCTGTACTGAAGGGTCCGTGTAGTTCTGCTCACTCGGTTCTTCGTGTTTTCTGCAGGAGCTCGAGCATCAGCGGGGAGTCCTGATGACTGAAATCCAAGCCGCCAAGAACTCTTGGTTCAGCAAGACGCTGGGGTCTCTGAAGAATTCAGCCTCCTCTTCCTCCAGCTCCTCGTCCCATCCGCCGCCCTCTCCAAAGGACGGGCCTGCCTAGCAGAACCTCCCTCCCCCTTTTACCCCAGCAGGATACGCACTAGTGCTGAACAACACAAGGCGATGCAGCTAGCAGAGAATAAATGCAGTATTCCTTTTCCAGGAAGTGGGAAAATGAGACGGGATACTGGAGCAGCCACCGTACTCCAGACTGGAACGTGTCCGTTGACGTGCTCTGCTTCACAGGTGAGCAGACATTCTGCTCAGGTCTGATGGTTTGAACTCCACTAGTCCTTCAGCCTCAACATAATTAGGAAATCTGTTTTACTAGCTCCACCTTGTGGCCACTTGTTGCAATTGCAGTGAGAAAATCATGTTTCCGGTCTAACAGCACAGAAATGTCCCGGCACTCTGAGAAAGGAATACTGCGTCCTGTAGTAAACGAAAGCATCACAAAAGTTGCAGTTCTTTATAGTAATATAACGTAAACAATGTTGTTATATAAATATGTATAACTAATAATTTTTTTTAATTATTTTGTACAGTTCTTTAAGAGGAAGAAAACAAGGAAAAGTTTTTTCTTTTGTACCGTTTGGAAAATGAACGTGACGTCTGTAGATGTTAATGTAAGCACAGAGAGGGGTCTGGTTGAGTCCAAGCGCTGAAGGTCCAAAAAGTGCCAGCCTGTACGTGAACTTGATATCTTCATTTCAGCTCATCACTGACTTTTTGTTCTGTATTTATTAGTTTGTTTTTCCATAAAATTAGGCTGCAGGTTATGGTATTAATAATCCATGACTACTTTGATACAATAACAGAAATTACTATAGATTTTCCTTAACACGTTTGATGGATCAGTTTAATTCGTGCTGTGGTCAGATGTCAAAAAGCTGCAGCACATCTCAGCTTCTAATGCCTATTTTTAAATTTAAAAATGAGCAATCTTTATAAAAAAACAACAGTGTCCACAGAGATGCTGATTAAAAAAAGGAGAATTTGAGTTTTAACGTTCTGTAGACTGCACCCTGGATGTTACGCATCTGTTACTCATTGCACAATTAGTTTATATCTGAACATTAGCTAAAAACATGAGCTTTCAGTATTGCTCCATCACTGCCAAACATTCCTAAGAACATCTCCGAGATTGTGCCAACACAGTTTTTGCTTTATGTTGTGCTGGATTTGTATTTTTTAACCTGGAGTCCTCGCTGTCGTTATTGTGATTCATCTCACTTCGTTTTGTCAGTTTACGTTTGTATTAACCAAGGAAGATGAGTCACATGAGCAGCAGATGCCTCCAAAAGTAACAAAAACACAGTAGTTTGAGTTTGAACACAAAAAAGGACATTTTGTTGCCAAAAAGTTTGATGATCTACAGCCAGCTGCTGAGCTTCAGTCTCTCAGGTTGACACTTAAATCAAGCCTTTGGACTCAGACCAGTCCCATGTGCACGTTGTGTGTGTGTGTTGTAACTATGAAGGTGAACAGTTCCTTCTTCACATGGCTGCCTTGTGTGTTGATGACTGAAGCCGTTGGCTGAAGAAGGAAAAGCCATCTGACTGATTGAAGTGGAGAGGATCAGCTGTGCCATACGAGCCCCCGCCCCCTCCTCTCCACACTCCGTCTTCCTCCGTGCCCCAGTCTTGTCATGTGCACTAACAAAACGTTGATATTTGAAACACTATTTTAAAGACGTTTGTTTCGAAGTCGTTTTTTTTAATGTTGCTACCAGTTTATAACCCACTGTTGGTTCCAGTGATGCAGAAGCAGCTGAGGAGTCAGATTAAAGGTGTTTGTTGTGCAGTTTACAGTTTGCTGTAACGCCACAGTCCTGTTACACAACCGTCTGAGCTGCGTTAATAAAGTTCAGTTCCTCCGTTCGTCCATGCTGTCTGAGCTTTTATTGAAAAACATGTTTCTGCCACAAGCTGAAGCAACGCCATCAACAAGAACGAGAACACTTTTCACACATGCTTGACTTTAAAACTACCACTGAACACTAAATATTTTAATAAGCCTGAGCTGTCGAACTGTTCGGAAGGTGTTTTAGCTTCACAGACCTAATCCTTCATTTCCACACTGCTCAAACGGTCGCTGACCTCGTCAAAGAAATTATCAGCGAAGCGGAGCATCTGGACGATGGCGCTGAGCAGCAGGACGTCACAGTTCATGTCCAGCTCCAGCTCTTCACTGTAGTTCTTCACTGGAACGACGCAGGACAGCGGCACGCCGAGCCTGGCGCCGACCTCCTGCACCTACAGCGCAGAGCAGTTGATGCAGTTACTGTCAAACTCAGAACTTGAGACTTGATGTTTCCAGTGTTAAATTCTAACTGGTCTTACGGTTTCCTTGATGTATTCACTTTTGTAGACGTTCCTCAAATCCTCTTTCACCAAAAGACACGCTTCATCGACTTTAGTGAGCAGCACCAGCTGAGGAATCCCTACAAACACGACAAAGGTCGTCTTACTACAAGCTGTATAAACTAAAAAAAGTCACTTTTAAAGTAATTTAATTTAACTGGTGAAAATTAGATATGTCTAAAAGTTTCTACAGGTGCTGCTCATAAAATTAGAACAACATGAAAAAAGTTTATTTATTTCAGTAATTCCATTCAAAAAGTGAAACTTCTATATATTATATTCATTACACACAGACTGATGTATTTCAAATGTTTATTTCTTTTAATGTTGATGATTAGAACTGACAACTAATGAAAATCCCAAATTCAGTATCTTAGAAAATTAGATTACTTAAGACCAATAAAGGGATTTTTAGAAATGTTGGCCAACTGAAAAGTATGAACATGAAATGTATGAGCATGTACAGCACTCAGTACATAGTTGGGGCTCCTTTCGTCTGGATTACTGCAGCAATGTGACGTGGCACGGAGTCGATCAGTCTGTGGCACTGCTCAGGTGTTATGAGAACCCGGGTTGTTCCGATAGTGGCCTTCAGCTCTTCTGAATTGTTGGGTCTGGTGTATCGCATCTTCCTCTTCACTATAGATTTTCTATGGGGTTAAGGACAGGTGAGTTTGCTGACCAGTTAAGAACAGGGACACCATGGTCCTCAAACCAGGTACTGGTAGCTTTGGCACTGTGTGCAGGCACCAAGTCCTGTTGGAAAATGAAATGTGCATCTCCATAAAGTTGTTCATCAGCAGGAAGCATGAAGTGCTCTAAAACTTCCTGGTAGATGCTGCGTTGACCTTGGACCTCAGAAAACACAGCAGACCAACACCAGCAGATGACATGGCACACCAAAAATCAATGGCGTGGAAACTTGACACTGGACCTCAAGCAACGTGAATTCTGTGCCTCCTCTCTTCCTCCAGACTCTGGGACCTTGATTTCCAAAGGAAATGCAAAATTTACTTTCATCAGAGAACATAACATTGGACCACTCAGCAACAGTCCCAGGTGAGACGCTTCTGACGCTCTCTTGTTCAAAAGTGGCTTGACACAAGGAATGCACAGCTGAAACCCTTGTCTTGCATAGGTCTGTGCGTGGTGGTTCTTGAAGCATTGACTCCAGCTGCAGTCCACTCTTTGTGAATCTCCCCCACATTTTGGAATGAGTTTTATTTCACAATCCTCTCCAGGGTTGCTTGTACACTTTTTTTCTACCACATCTTTTCCTTCCCTTCGCTTCTCTATTAACGTGTTTGGACACAGAGCTCTGTGAACAGCCAGCCTCTTTAGCAATGACCTTTTGTGTCTTGCCCTCCTTGTGCAAGGTGTCAATGGTCGTCTTTTGGACAACTGTCAAGTCAGCAGTGCTCCCCATGATTGTGTAGCCTACAGAACTAGACAGAGACCATTTAAAAAGGTCTTTGCAGGCGTTTTGATTTAATTAGCCGATTAGGCTGTGGCACCAGGTGTCTTTAAAACTGAACCTTTTCACAATATTCTAATTTTCTGATACTGAATTTGGTGTTTTCATTAGTTGTCAGTTATAATCATCAACATTAAAATAAATAAACATTTGAAATATATCAGTCTGTGTGTAATGAATGAATATAATGTACAAGCTTCACTTTTTGAATGGAATTACTGAAATAAATAAAACTTTTTCATGATATTCTACTTTTATGACCAGCACCTGTAGATGAGTGAAGAAGACCTCTACTGACCCAACAGGTTGACCTTCCTGCGGATAGCTTCCAGCTTCTCCTCCAGCTTTGTGGGCATTATGGAGATCGTGCAAGCATCAATGACATAAGCCACACAGTGAATCTTGTTGTCGAGACCTGGAGACTTCTGATAGCCATGAGCCTCTGAGTGCAGAGGAACAGCGGGGTTGAACTGACGTTTGAAGAGAAAGAGGGGGAGTTTGAGAAAACTAGAGCCAAATCTTTGTTTCACACAGCTCATTCTGCTGAGCATTAATTAAATATACCTGGTAAAGGTCAGGCAGGTGGCCTCGAAGGATGCTGCTGATGTCGTCTATGTCAAGCCCCGCCCCTTTGCCTTCCTCCAGTCCCATGGTATCACACAGGATGATTGGCAGAGGTTTGCCTTCACGTCCAGCTTTCAGAGAATAAGTTCGAAACTGTTGTTGTAAAGAGGGGGGTGAGTTGAGACCACACCGAGATGATGAAACTGAAAATGTGGCAGTCAGAAACAGACCTGTGTGGTGAGGCTGGTGGTGGAGCTGCCAGATATGGCCTGGCTGGTGACGTGGCCTCTGAAGATGGAGTTGATGGAGTTAAAGAAGCTGGACTTTCCAGCTCCGACCGGTCCAATCATTAAAACCCGAGCCTGGGACACAGAACTGACTATGGGTTTGTAGGTTTTAATGCTCTCCATCAGATCACTCCTTTTCCTGCACAAACATCACCGTGCAATTTTTAACACCAAAAACAGTTGGTGGGTTCAAGATTAGTCTCACACTACACAGATCATCACTTGGTAATATACAATAGATGAAAAAATTTAAAACATTAAATTGATCATTTATTTTATTCTGCCAAAGTTTAAGTTGTACAAAAGCGAATGATTCATTGTACTTAGACTCCCAGATCACCGTCCTCCATGGCTTCTCAAGTTCAGTGGTTTCTGTTGAAAAGAAAAAAAAAAATAACCATTTTTATATTTCATGACTTATAAAAATGAATGTAAAAAGGTATAAATGACATCTCCAAGTTTTTCCACACAGAGCTTACCCTCCACCTGGTAGACTTCACACTCGGTCAGGTTCAGGTCATTGCCATGCATTTCTGCAGCGTTGAAGTTGAAATAACCTCCTGGATTACTGTAAACCACTGGATTGTTTCCATTAAAAAACCCCAGTGCATTTCCAAAATAAGGACCAGAGTTGGCGACCATCTGAACTGCATATGGAGCATTAATAACTGGATATTTGAGGAGTGTTTCTCCATTAAAGGTGAAAAGAAAGGCCTGGTCATCGTTCACATATTTTCCAGTCTGATTAAAAGGTTGTCTGGTGTAGCCTCCGAACACATAACCAGAGGCGTTGAAGCCCACAGACACAGTGGGACAGCGGTTGTCACATCGCTGGTGGAAAGCAGCGCCAGTAAAACCATGGACAGAAGCTTTGTAGAGCAGTTTGAGTCGAACATTTCCCAGCTGGAAGCAGATTGTTCTCTGCTGGGTCCTGGTCAGCTTGGAGCTCAGAGTGGACATCTGGTCTGATGGTGTGAACTTCTACAGGATCGTACAAAGAAAGCATAAAATAAAGTGAAATGCACAATTCAAAAATGTGATTTTCACTTTAGAAACTTAAAAGGAATGAACATCAATTTAAAGGTTGGTAAAATTTGTGAGACTGGTGTGTATTAAAGTAAGATTTTATTTTTAAAAATCACAGTTTTCAACATTTTGTTATTTTACACACGAGCTGGGACTGAAGGACAAAAACAACGCAATTAGTTCACAGCCCATGATATACAAACTCACATGATATACAAACTCACATGATATACAAACTCACATGATATACAAACTCACAAGGATGTTTGCAAAGAATTAACAATTATTTCAATTTGCTCACACATTCTTTTTGACAAACCTCTCTCAGAAAAATGAATTAAACACACTTTTTTTCTTCATGAATTACATGAATAACACATTTAACAGGGACTATAGTATGTTGGTTGTTTCTTACCTCTAATTATTGCACAGCTGCTGAACTTGCTACTAGGTTAAAGCTAAGCTAAACTTTATTTTTAAAGTCTTCTTATCAAATTGGGAGCAGATTTTAGTGTGGAAAATTTACACAGAACGATGTTTTCTACAAAATAAAAACTACAATTAAATTTCCACGGAGTGCAGACACCAGTTTTGTTCCATTCTCTTTAAGTGTCGATTTCCTGACAAACGAAACAAACAAGCCACACCTTCAAAACAAAAGTACAAAACAAATCGTTTCTCTCCGTCTTCTAAATTGATACATCAAATCTTAGGCTGAGTAAAAACAAACTGAAAAAAAAAATTAAATGCCTTTTTTATGTGTTAGTCTTACCTTAGAGATTTGAACTACAGCCTGGTTGCTTCTTCTTCTTCTTCTTCTTCTTTGGTTTTTAACGGCAGCTTGCATCCATCAATGTTGCACTACTGCCATCTCTTGGTGTTTATAAGTTAATTTCTTTCCTCAAATTCTCTTATTGAGTCCAGTATTATTTAAAAAACGAAATATCTTTCTTTTCCCTTCTTCACTATTCAGCTGCGAAGCCACATTTTCAAATTTTAGTTCCCTTTTACAACCTATTTCCATTCTCAATAATCTTCTTTGACCCACATATTTCCTGCAATTAATAAAAACATGTTCTATTGTTTCTGTGGTATTACACCAATCACATAAACCAGTAATTGATTGATTGATTGATTGATTTTTATTGTCAATTCTGCATATGTACAGGACATACATAGAAATTGAAATTGCGTTACACTCCTACTCAATTTGCAGCAAACAACAACATTAGCAAAATGTTGTTGTTTGCTGCAAATTGAGTAAGATGTTTCCCCATCTTAAAAAGAGTGCCATTCAAAAAACTATGCCCGGTTCTTATTCTATTTATAATTATCTCCTCCCTCCTATTTATTCCTCCGATTCTTTTAACATCAACTGTTTTCTGTATCCTGTATAAATGTCTCCCTTTTGTCTCATTATTCCAGCTCATTTCCCATAATTTCTTGCTTTCTTTCCAAACTATACTTTTTCCTTCAGACTTAGATAATTTTATTGACATATCAATATCTTCTTTTTTAACAGCTTCTTTAGCCAACCTATCTGCTTTTTCATTACCTAAAATACCTAAATGAGCAGGAGTCCACATAATTACTATAGTTTTGTTTTGTTCACATAGTCTATGATGAACAAACAGAATCTCATACAAGATGTGTTGGTGATTACTTGAACTTCCCTTTTCAATGCTTAATATTGCTGATAATGAATCACTGCAAACTATAATTTTACTTGTTCTACTATCCTCCACCCATTCTAAAGCCAATAATATAGCACATAATTCTACTGCATATATACTCAGAAAATTAGATGTTCTTTTCGAAAGCTTAATCTTTAATTCAGGAATCACTACTGCTACACTAGTTGCTTCAGTTTTTGGATCTTTTGAACCATCTGTATAGATTTGCAGGTAATCATTATATTTCTTCTCTACTCGATCATAAAATTCTTGACAAATATCTGTAGTTTTCCTTTTCTTAATATTTAATAATGATCTATCTACATTAACATATTTCCATGCCCATGTAGGCCTTAAGGGCCATAATACTGTTGAATTAAATTCTTTGTTATATACTTTAAATGTTCTTGCTAAATTATCCCCTATCCACCCAAAACTATTTTTAAGCTCCTTTCCTCTTTCCCAACAATTTTCTAACACTTTCTTAACTGGATGAGTTTCATTGTGTCCTTTCAAATTTATCCAATAATTAACCATTAACTGCTGTCTTCTAATGCATAATGGCATTTCTCCTGATTCTACTTGTAGAGCACATACTGGAGTTGATTTTACTGCCCCTAAACAAATTCTCAGTGCTCTAGCTTGGATGACATCTAATTTATTTAGTCGAGTTTTAGCCGCTGATCCATACACCACACTCCCATAATCTATTCTTGACCGAATTAATGACACATAAATATGTTTAAGTGACTCAAATGTTGCACCCCATGTCAACCCTGCTAAACACCTCATAATGTTTAGTACCTTTTTACCCTTCTCTATGATATGATCTATGTGATTTCCCCAAGTTAATTTCTTATCAAACACTACTCCCAAAAAACAAAAATAATCAACCCTTTCTAACTCTTTTCCGTATAATTTTAACTTTTTATTAACTCCGATCTTTTTATTTGTGAAAAACATGACTTTTGTCTTTTCAACTGAAAATCTGAAACCCCACTCTATTCCCCACTTACTTACTTTATCTATCCCTTCCTGAAGTTTTAAAATAAGATGTTCCACATTTCTTCCCCTTTTCCATAACGCTCCATCAGCAGCAAAAAGTGATTTACCATAACTGAAAGATAAATCTTTGAAAATATCATTAATCATAACTGAAAATAGTGTAGGGCTTATCACACTTCCTTGAGGGGTTCCATTTCTTCTTATTCTTGTGAGAGGAGGGTGTGTGGAAGAGCGGAGGAAGAGCGAGTGTGAGAATATTGTTTATTCTATATCTTTGCCTTTTCTTTCTTACTGCTTTTTCACTGGGTGTTAATGTTATTTGTTTAAATTGTATTTTTGTTTAGTTTCGTCACGTTTTAAGGTTTTTTTTTGTTGGTTTGGGTGTGGCCGTCAGGCGTGCCTGACTGGCCGGCGTC